GTATCAACCCTCTTTGCAATCTGAATTGCCTCTTTGAATGTTTGTAAATCCCTTAGTTCCATCTCTTGCTAAACTACACATTTCAAACCTCACAGAAAACGATCTATCATCTTTGCCTCCAAAATAATGTCAATTTGAAGACATAAGGACTTGAATGAGGAGACATTATCTTGCATCGACCTAGCTTGTATAAGATTTGCCAACTAACTATGTACTATCTTTTATACATTGATGGGCCGAACTTGATTCCTAGACTCAGTGTCAAATTCCTCCTAGTTACAAAATCCACCTTTAGTTCCATTACTTTGAACTGGATGTTGCTACCAAATGGCTCCCGCATCTCTCAAATAGTTGGTTGCATATATAATTCTTTCAATGGTATTTGTCCCAAATAGTTGGAGGTATTGTTGCATGTTGAAGAGCCATTGACATACAACTTCTTGTCGTGAAGTTCCTGAGTATGTACTAGACTTATTCAATTTTAACCTAGAAAATGTCAACTTTCTTATCCTCGAGGCTTCTATTTTTTCTTGCAAAGTAGCTATCTAGCCTAAGAGGTGTTGTATTTGAGCCTTCATTTGGAATTGTTGTGCCATATCTCTCATACTATAATTTCTCCACTTGACTCCACTATTGTGATATCTTTTCACCTCCCGATTAACTTTTTAAGAATAGTTTGTGGTAGCCTTAATACAATATACAGTGTGAAAAAAATAATTAACCTTGAATTAGATGATGACTATGGACATGCTATCAAAAATAAAGAGTCTAATGCTTATGTTGATACAAATAAATCAAGACTAGACTATTTGAAAAACCCAAGATCCTTCTATTTCACAGCAACATAAAACTTCATTACAAAATAGGATAAAATAAACCAAAATAAAATTGAGTAAAACTAAATACAATAGGACATGAAAGACAAACTGAGCAAACGGAAATAGAACAAAATTTTACCAATTTTCTACTCAACTACTTGCATAAAAAAGTACTAAATCAAGTAGCATCCTTCCAAAAACTTTTAAATAAATCTCTCAAGTTTTCATTTTTATCTAATTTTAGATCTTATTTATATTTAGAAAAAAAATCAATTAAATAAGTTGTAGTCTCAACTAAATTTGACATCTTTATTGGATATAATACTAAGATCAAGGCTTTCTGGATATAGATATTAGAGGTTCACAAACTAATCATATTTTGTAAGATTTGATTTAATAAAAATAACATATTATTCCATATACAATTGATAAAGTAACAAGCTTTGTCTAATATCTCACTTTTAGTGGCAACAAATTAGTTACTCAACTTTGACACAAAAAATCAGCTCCAATCAAGCCATAATCCAAAAACTCTACTTATATGCTCAATTTTCAAAAGACCCGATTCAAATATAGCTCTAGTTGTTAAAAATCCTAATGGTGGTCTTGACCTCTATATCACATCTACCATTAGCAAATCTTCTTTGTAAGTAAAAGTCAATCCTTTGGCATTGAAATTGGTGATAGAATGCAATCTTTTATTCAAAATTCTTTTAATTTTTTTGATGTATAGTCTCATTGTGACAAAAAGATTTCTACCAATCTTTGGATAAATTTTACTATTAAGTAGAAGTTAATTTTTTTTAAATTACTTATTTCAAATTAATTTAGTAACTTAAATGTATGATTTTTTAAATATAATAAGATCATATTTATTCTTAAGATCAAATTTTTTTTAGATACTCTAAAAAAATCTTAAAGTTGCTTTGATTCATAAAACTTGACTTATACGGCTAGTAGACTTTGTTTAATTAAAATTAATATGATGTACATGAAGCATTCAAGTTTGTCTTCTTCACTTTTTGAATCTTTGGAGTCTTTCTTTCTCTTTGAGAAGGCATTAAGTGGAGAAGATGGTAGAAATAGGATGTTCTAAATTAGGTTTCTTTATAAACTTCAAGGTCAATAAAAGAGATATCAATAAATGACCAATTTAATAGGAGATTAAGTCACACATATTCTCTAATGAATTTTTCTATGAATCATCTCCTTTATTATTTTATATACTTTTTTGCAATAAGTTTCTATAGATGCAAGCTTATTCCATAAAAATGGCAACTTAAAATTAACTTTCTATAACTATGTGAAGTGATCCTTATTGGTTCTTGCTGATTTATTCAATTATGTAACCTGCATTTTTAATTCATCAAAAACTTTACTTTTGAAAGTGTCATTGATATAATGAGTATTGTTAGAAAATTTATTTATAAAATAAAAATAGTTGCTAAATTTTACCATGTAGAAAAAAATATCAACTTTAAATTGAGGCATTTTTATTATGCATTTAAATTTTATTTTTATCTTATAACATAGAGTACACACTTGTTTTGGAATTCATTGCTTATTTTTTTGTTGTGTGTGTGTGTATGTATGTATGTATGTACATATATATATATATATATATATAATCTTATTATTTAATGTTCTATTTATGTTTATATTACTACATATGAATGAATTGATTTTCAAAACAACAACTGTAACAACTAAAAGTTCAAGAAATTGAAGTTTTTTTCATTAGAAATGTACAAGTTGCTTTAAACTTCACTAAAATATTCCATTTTTTATAATTCAAAAACTGAAATTTTCAGAAATTATCAATGTACATGCAACTTGATTATATCAACTATAACTTTTTATTTATGTTTTTCCATGATTTTTTAAGATATGATAATAATAACAATAATCATTTCAAATTATTGCTTCTATTTAATCAATTATGAGAACATGTAAATAAAGTTCATTGGATTTGATTCACTGAAACTTCTATGTCTTAAAATTTTCACAATCTAAATAAAATAAAAATAAAAATTACATATTACACTTACACATCTGTATTTTGAGCACGTTCAGATTCAATAAATTATTTTACTACTACAATCTACAGATACACTAAAATGAATTCCAGAATGTACCGATATATGTAGGTATATATGTACATCAAAGATTTGATTTTTTTTTTAAATTCACTTTGAAAATCTTTAAAACACTAAAATGTTGAATCACCCAAATAAAGCTGTCTAAGTCATAAATGTTTATCAGTTGTACTTCCACAAAAATCTGTCATATATTTACCTACCCAAAAAATAATAATACTAAATCGATATATATATATATATATATATATAAGTGTGTGTGTGTTAAAAACATCAGCACAATCTTCAAAGAACCAAACCACCTAATTCAACCATAAAATAAACAAGAATAACAGTAAAAGTGAGTCCTTGTGTGTACATATGTATATGTATATTTACAGACATATACACACACATATTAGCATCTACTAATAAATATCCTGCTCATATCAAAACTGGTGAAATGTGTGTGTGTATACATACAGACATCCACACCAATAGGTGATTGTCTTCTTATGAAATATCATTGCATGGTATCTTCTACCAACCTCTATGTTATCAAAGCAACTGAAATTAATGAAGAACCTCCTTCTCCTCAAAGTGACCAATTGATTAAATATAGTAACCAAAAATGCATGGCCCAAATGGTCTGCTAAACAGTTTGACTTGTAACCCAGTCCTTCCTTGTAAGAAACAATCCCATAACATTGCAACACAACTAGTCAATGCTATGACATGGTAACATTACTAGTCAGACCCTTAAATCCATGTTGATATAATTCCCTCAAAAGATGCACCGCCATCAATGCCCTTTCTCACACTTTCTCCCTCCCTCTATCTTCCTTTCCTTTGACCTTTTGGCATTTTTCTTTTTTGAAAATCCCTTTCATGCAAGTTAAATTGTTTGATTGGTTGGTGACGTGGAGTTGGAATTTAGCCAATCCGTAGAACCTTCCTTAGAGTAGAGGTCCTCCTTTTCAGCATCGATTTTAATTCATTGGTTTGTCTGTTTGCTTATTTTAGTTTCTACATTTACCATAACTTTACTCTCCTAACACCCTGTTAACTTGTTCACCAACAGAGGAAAACAAAAGAATTTTTCTAATTAAATTTAAACATATGAAGATTTGAAATCTTGATTGAAGAACAACTATCATTTCTTTTCTATCCTTGTTTACACCAAAAGACAACACAATCAAGCATCTCATTTACACAATCCTTCTTATTCATTCAAGCATTGAGGATAATTGTTTAATTGGTGGACCACAATCCAACCAATTGCATCAAATGGTTGTGTTGTTAGCTTTTTTGGTTATGAATAATCATAAACATATATATATATATATATATATATGCATACATACCTGTTTACACAGATACATACAATTATTTGAAGAAACAAACTTTGTAGAAAAAATCTTTCAATTGAATAATATTTTCTTATGTTATTTAAACTTGAGTTTAAAATGGTTGATAATTTGTTAATATGTAGAATATATTGAATATAAGCTTAACAAAATCAAAATGCATGAACAAAGTGATATTACAAAATTTGATTCAAATTTTAAAATTACCAATTTTAGCACAAATATTATCGTACATGCTATTTTAAGTCAATTTATTGAATTAACTTATTTTTTGTTTCTAATAGTATAGAAATTATCAAACATGATCTACAACAAAAAAATTATGCATATTATTTTTTGAACCAAAATCGAGTAATGTTAAGTTTGAGTTACAATATAAAAATTCATATGATTTGTAATTTCTCAAAGGCGTATCCACATGCCCTTCGATGTGGGACATAGTTCTAGTTCTTCTACGTTAAATAATATGAACACTCAATTTTCACTAATAAAGGACATGGAAGACATTAGTATGTATCACTTTTAATTTAAAGTAAAGAAAAGTAAAATTTTGTTTTCTCTCCTGGTAAAGAAATGGTATTGTTTGGTGTGCAATCTCATAGACAGCATTGAATGGTACCATTTCATAACTTTTATTTCAATATAAAACACCGCCGTGCTCGTCGTCACGCAAGTAAGACGGGTCGGACGAACGGAGGGAGGGAGAGGGAGCGGCGGCATTCATGCGGCAAGGATTCGAGGCTCATAAGATGACGGTGGACTTGGTCGCGAAGATGTGTGATGAGCATGCGCAACGCCACACCAGGAGGAATGTTCGTCAGTGTTTCTGAGGCACCCATGATGCATGTTTAGCCAAAAGCCATGGACAGTAGAACTCGCTGCGATGAAACCACCGATCTGGAATCATCCATCTCGACACCCCTGCAGTTGGATTGCAGACGCGATTTTCTCACGGCTGCTGCGGAGAGACAACGACAGTGCCCCACGCAAATAATTCACTGCTGATGCTTCTGCTGCTTCAGCTGCATGTCCAATCTCCCAAACTGCTCAGGCGGATTGGCGCCACCCATGCAGCGTCGCGGAGCTCGAGGACAGTGGTTATCGGCCCAGCCACCGGCATCGCGCCGAGACGCACCTAAAAATACCCCTCTATTGACTTCCATCGCGACAGTCTAGAGCTGCAGCAATGGCATTTTTCTCCCTTCCTTCTATCTGCCACAGCTAGATGCTCCAGGGTGCTGCTAGTGGGTGGTGCTTGTTGGCATATAGATGCGGGCTTTGCGGTCACCGGCCAATTAGTGTTTCATAACTTTCCGTTGTATCTTTCTGTGTGTAAATATCCTTTCTCGTTTCGCACGGACCAGTGGAGGAGGGCCGGAGAGAATCGGTTCCACTCTCACTCACCCATGGATGAAGATAACCTTTGGACACTGCAAGGCTAGTGGAGGTAAATTCATTCTGTTGCTGGAGGATATGCCGGTAAAATGCACTTTTGTGGACGCCAAATAGGTCTAGCAGATGTCAGTACATACACATATGTGCTCAGAATTATGCGGGAGATTTTCCTCGTCCATCCACCACTAGCTGGTATTATTTGTGAGTGAGCGCGGGTTTAATTAGCTCGGACCATCGAGGAGATAGCACGACTTTCCTTTTCGGTTTCGAGTCCGTGAAAGAAATGACATCGACATCTGAATGCCTTACCATCGAATGCCTTACCATCGAATGCCACCGACACTGATTTTATTCGTACTGACTTCGAGGCTCGAAGAGTACGAACCCCACAGCAGTAGCTCTCACCACAGTACTGCTTGCGGTGCTCCTGATTACTGCAAGTCATGCAGTGAACGAGTGCAGTGCAATGTTTTCGAATTAGATCGCTCGCTTAGTTCTTTGCTCACGGATGAAGTCATCAGCTGTCGAAGCTTAGCGGTTCGAATCAGTCTAACGAATACAGAGTTTGATCAGGTGCATTCGAAAGAAGATTAGTGATCACATCGAAGACTATTGAGCCGTCGAGTAGAAGATTTCATTACTGGTTGTCAGAACGTTACTACGTACCTGCGAGTGAAATTTCATTGAATATTTTCTTGGATCCGGACTGAGTGCAATGCAAAGGTTTTGTTACTGCCCCTGTCTGTGTACATTTTAGTAAGTGTGCGAATCGTTTACATGTAGCGCATTTCACGCGTATGATTCTCAAAGAGTGATTGGGTGACTGATGGGAGAAAATAGGGGGATCACTGGCAGTGGCAAGCACCGCACTGTTAAGGAAGCAACTCGCGTTCATGATAAACGCATTTGTAGGGTCAAGCATGCTGGAGTTCCTCCAGACACTGGTGACTTGAACGGTGATGATGGAGAGCTTCCTCTCTATCCTGTCTCCTCCAATCGTCACCGACTCGGTGCAAAGTCCGAATCTCACACTGCCTCAAACCCACAACCCAGTAGCAAAGTCGGTCATAGTATGAGCGATTTCAACGGAGAGGTGAGTATCAGGGTCGGAGAGACTGCAGGCTGGCCACTGGGTAGGCAGGAAATTGCAGCCTGGGCGAGCAGCTTCCTCTTTCCGTTGGACTCACAATGTAGCGACAGCTTGCAGACAATGCTGCAGAGGGATGCACATAGCTGCAGAGAAACCAATACAAAGAAGATTGATAAATGTAGGATCTTGGCGGAGAATCCAGGTGGAAGCCCTCCGTCCGAACGAAACGGAACAGTGGAATCTTTTGGAGTCCAATCTGGGCATCTAAAGTCACCAAGACAGCTGAAGAAACTTCTGGACTCAACCGAATCTGTCGCGTTGCTAAGTGCACCTGCTAATGATGAACAAGGATGTGATGCGCAATTAGGAGATCGTCTGAATAAGTTGCAGGTTGAAGCTTGCAAAAAAATCGTTTTGCGTGTCGCACCTTCATCAGGAAGAGGTGAGATTCTTAGAAGGTTGAAGGATTTGAAGGCTCATCCGTCTAGCCCAAGACTGGTGGAAGAGAGCGCTGGAAAATACCACAAAGAGAACACTAGAAAGGCCGCTGGGAAAGATGACCAAAGGCTTAAGACAAGTCAACCAACATCGTCCAACGGCATTATCAAGAGCAGCCCCACCTCAGTGAATAAGAAGCACCCGATTCCAAGCCAATTCCAATCCAAGGCTGAAGAGAACGCGCTCGGTGAGCTAGAGATTACGTTTAACCTTGGAGAAAAGAGGCTACAGGGGAATTCTTCATCTGATCATCGAGGTAGTCCTCGTAGATGTGCAGAGTTCTCACTAGAAAACCTGTCCACTCCGACGTCAAGGTTAAATAATGGTTCCATACAAGAGCAGGTGGTTGCCGTTCGTAAGCATGCGCAGAGGCCCAAGGCGACCAATGTCAGCAATTCGTCTCCTGACCACACCCCATCTGTGCTGGCTGCGGTTCCATTCAAGTGGGAGGAGGAGCCAGGTATACCCAAGACCATAGCCGACGCTGCAGATCGTATGCTAGCTCGAAGGGTTTCACGAGAAAGCATTGAGGTGAGTAATTTTGCAGAAGCTCAATCAGGTTCGCACAAGTCCGAAGAAAAACCTTCCACGGAAGTGACGGAGGATGGCATTCCCCGAAGAGGAACTGCCCACATACGAAGTTCATCGACACAAAGCTCCCCGGGTACTGGAAAACTTGACGCAGGGCGGACTGGCAGCCATAGGTACTACGGCGAAGCATATTTGAGAGGGAATTTAAGAAATGCTGGTTTTGAACGGTCAAGCAGAAGGTATAGTATACATGGAGGAGACACCTACATTGACTTCGACGGATCTGCAGCGGCAAGATTCTTGGTGAAGGCGTTTGAATCACCCTGGAGCACACCAAGTATGCATAACGGTTCGCCGGCATTTTCTGTGCCTTTCGAGTGGGAGGATGCTCCAGGGAAAGCCAAAGTGGAGATAGTAGCACGAAGTCCTAATTTGCTACAACTACCTCCTCGGCTTGCTGTTTCGTCGTATTGTAGTGCCGAGAGCTTTAGTCGCGAGCTTCGAGCTTCCCACCCCTTCGCAGGTTTCTTCGCTCCCTGCATACAAACCTCTTCGCCAGCACATCGGAAACGAGGTGAGCGAACATTGTTGAAGCATGCTTCTAGTAAAAAGCTTCCTCCAAGAGCCCCTGGTTCAGCGGAGCGTCGAAAACGACATGGTCTTGTGGGTCGCTGCAGCTCGACTCCTCGCGAAGGATGCCAGATCAAAATGTCTAAATCATGTAGTCAACAGTCTTTCAAGGAGAAAACTTCAAGCTTTAGCAGCTCCGATATGTCACTGATTGATCCACTACCGTCAACAAATTCAACGACTTTGAATCGCAGAAATTTGTTCAGTTCAGAGGATAAATACTCTGCTTCGTGCATACAGAACAGCCATCTCAATGCGCCCTCGTCCCCCACAAGCATCTTGTGTGGTCCTGACGAGAGCAGTGCCCAGACTTCAGCGTCTAACATTATGTTTTCAAGCCGAGACTTCGAAGATTTTGGAAACTGTTCTAGACAATCGGTGTCCAAATCTAGCGCCAGCGCTTCATACGGATCTATTCAAGAGGATCTCTCTGAATATTCGAGCCCTATGAACAGCATGACTCATCATCCTGATCCTCAGGTTTCCGATGAGCCTCCACTTACATTGATTCCGGCCTTAGCTCCAACTGCGGTGGATATCTCTGCAAGAGAACATGATGGTCATAGGTCGAAAGGAGCTTCTAATGACGTTGGTTCTCTCCTCAAGCTCTCTAAAACTGGCAAATATACTTCTAAATTTAGAAGTTCTCAGCTGAAAGGCACAGCACACTGCCCAGAGGCCACTCTCGTCAACTACTTTCAATCTTTAGAGCTCAATGAGGCTTCGGCACAGATAAGAAGGAAGGCATCAACCTCAGCATTGGTTGAAGAAACTGGTCTTCTTGACAAGCAGGGAGGTTCAACTTCGAGTGGTTATGTGAGTAGCGAAGGTGAGGCAATTGTTCTTAAGAACTCACCAACGATGCAGTCCGTGGGAAAGGAAGAACCTGCAAATCTCGTGGTGCAGCGGCGGAAAGGTTCAGGAACTCCAAGGAAAGCTCTCACTAAGAGTGCCCCTCCCAAACTACCCCGACGCGTCCGTTTCACGGTCAGTGTTTGTGGGTCTCGGTTCAAGGAATTGTCCCTCTGTTGAATGAGTTTCTTTGAAGGTTAAGGATTTAAAGCTTGGTTACATGTGTGGATATGAGATTCCGATGCGTCTTCTTCATCGATAAATAGCTCCTTTGTGTGTCGTTTCGTATAATGTCATGCTAACAAGCATTATCTTGGCTATGTGAAAATTTCGAGCAGCTGTCAGTCTCCAAAATTTTCAGGCGCGCTCTTTGCAGACAACTGCGTCACCAGCCGATCGAACCTGCTAGGCTTATACTTCGTGAAAAACAATCACCTACACCTTTTGATTTCAAATCGGCCCACGTCTAATGTACAAAATCTCATTTTCTCCAGACACTCATGTCTTTCTGAAATTAGAATTTCTATGTACCCATCGGTAGAAGCTCAATTTGCACGACCATCTGATTCATGGATCTAATTTAACAACGATTTCTTTGCAGCTGAAATGCTTCTGAATGCTAAGATTTATTCAAAAGAGGTGATGAAGCGACATTGTGGAACCAGCTCTTGGATACTAAGCCTCTTAGACGAGTCTTTTCCCCGCAAGCTTGTGTGCACACGAATCAACAGACGAGAACTTGTTTAGTACTCTGTAAATGTGAATAGTGTTTCACCCCCCAGTACTCCGTAAGCATGGGACATGCTAGTCGGGAATCATGGAGGATCGTTTCAAGCATATCAACACGGATCAGTATATTGAACTCATGACACCACTGATAGGAAAAATCCCTTCTCAATCACCGCTATTCTTTTACGGCGACGAAACTAAAGAAAAAGTGTTCGTGAAGCCAAGAATTACGGTCCTTGTGCTACTAGACAATCTTTTTAATATTTTTCTTTTTAATTCTTATCGATCTTTAGATCTTTTATAATATGTCATTTTCTATAAGACAATGACTTAGTGTATACAAATGCACATCAGATGACACAAAAGTCATTTTGTGTAAAATCAAATGACACAAAAGTCATTTTGTGAAAAATCAAATGACACAAAAGTCATTTTGTGTAAAATCAAATGACACAAAAGTCATTTTGGTTCATGGACCTACCTTACTCCACTGTGAGAGTATAGCAACCTTAAAAACCTTCACAGTGACAATTGTAAAGAGAATGCCCTAATGGATACAAATGCATTAAAATAACCATTCATTTATTTATTCTTTAAAAAAAAATCATCTATTGCAACAATGACAAAAATTATGCAGTCAAGATCAAATGACAAAGAATTTATTTTATCAAGTGCATGGTGTATTGCATTTGTAATCTTCATAAAAATTGAATAGTTTTTACGCTTGTCAATGAGAAGAAAGTGAATAATGTCTTAATGTGCATGGTTAATTTATTCATCTCAGCCACCTATTATTTTTGTTTTATCCACTTAAATCAAGCCAATACACTTTTAATCATATACAAATAATGTTCTTTCATATACATCCAACATCAATAGTAGGAAAAGTGTCAACTTCTTACATATTTCCAAATTGATAATTTGCTAGCTATTTTTTTATATAAATTCATTATCCAATATTTTTCCAACAACTTAATGGTCACAATTGTAAGATATATTTATGATAGCTATGTCAACTTCATATTGTATGTTACAAAATAATCTAAGCATAATTTTAGATATATATATAATCTAAATAATGTATATTTAAAATACATACTTATTGTTAAATGAATTAGACTTATTGTTATAAAGATATGAAGGTAATTGATAATCAAATGGCCAAATCAAACTAGTCCATTAATAAAGTTGAACAAGGACAAAAAAAAGTGGGATGTATTTAATACTTTGGATCTGGATTACCAACTTTTGTATGTCAAAGCATAAGAGAGTAGGATAAACTTCAAAAAAATCATCCACTATAGCAAAAACAAAAAAATTGAGATAAAAATCAATTAACTTGAAATAAGTCATTTTAGGAAGTGCATGGTGTTTTGGATTTACTATCCAACTAAATACTTGCCAATTTTTGTATCCAACATAATTTCACACTTCTAAACGACAAGACTGTAAATAGTGTTGCAATAGATATAATTATTCTATCCTTCTATGCAACATATCATTTATACTCAATTGATTTATATTAAGCCTCTACACATTTTATCATATAAAAATAATATTCTCTTCTAAAACCTCACTTCAATGATAGTGTTACTTAAGCTTTTAAAATTATGAGCAAGCATAAGATACCACCTTGTAAAATCAAATGCAAAAGACATGATGATTGGAAAACAAGTTTTATTTATTAATTCAATTAGAATTATATGGTCTTTGGCTCAGCACTATTCTACCTCGCAGAGCTATTGCCTAAGACTAGCTTATGCATTGTGATAATTCTCAACTATCATTATTGTATTTCTTTTATCCATAAATAGTCTTTGATCTTGAGCTATGTCTCCGTTAATTGTGGCAATATCATCTATTATTCCTTATTTCGTCATTTATTATTTCATTAATGTCTTTCCATCTGGTTCCTTTGATGGGTATTATCCACGCAAGCAAATAAATTCTTCTTAGGTAAACAATAGGTAGAAAAGGCATTAAATTTTTATCTATTTGTAAATTACTAATTTATTAAATTTTTTCTTCTAAACCTGTTATTCAACATTTTACCATCAATTTGATGACAATAATTATAAGACATATTTATGATAGTTGTGTTACCTTTATATTGCATATTACAAAACAACCTAAGTATATATATAGATAACTATCATTGCATTGCAATATTCAAAAATAAAGTATAAATATTGTGTATTAGAATTATATATATAGATATAGATATAGATATACATAATCTGTTCCATTTTCCTTCATTAGTTCCTATCATCAAAAATTACTTTAATTTCACTATTAAATCAAAAAACTGAAAGATGGAATTAAATTCCATGAAAGATATAGGAACAAAAAACGTTTGACAACTTAAAGAGCAAATTTAAGAAACTTGTACACTTTATTGTTTGCATACATCAACTAAATCATAACCTTGCAAAATATAAAGACAAAGTTGGATTGAAAAATAAATAAATAAATAAAAAAGAAAAGAAAAATTATACTGTAAGACTTACATTGAATTCACAGTAGGCAACGATGGAACATCTAAAATCTCATCGTTACAAAAAGTCGGTGTATGGCTGTCAATGAGCAGGCAGACAGCAACTGTCAGTAAGTTCTAATCCTTACCGACAACTAATTTCATGTGCTGTCATGAAATTGATAGGCTTGTTTTCTTTTAGGCTATCAACAATCTTGTCCATCATCCACTGGCAGAATCCATTAATTTATAATCAGAGACATCGAGCTCAGTATCACAGAACAGGATGACTGAACAAAGATAATGTCATCAGTTGCTCGCTTTCTCGCAAATTTGAAGAGCCTCGATAGATCCACAAGGTTGATTTAAGGGAGGATGGTCGTTCTGCTCCACCAGGATGGACACGGAACTCGAGACCCACTTCATGGAGTTGCCTTTTTCTTCATTCCGGTCACGAACTGTCGGTGTCGCAGGTCGGAAGTAAGCATAGAGTGACAATTGGGCAACACCAGACAGAGCACCGAGGCAGTTGGGAATCTGAAACCAGTCAGTTACAAATGGAGCGTGGTTAACATGAATGACGATTTCAAGGTAACAATGAATCATCCGGTTTGTATTGTTGTGAGATTACTAACATATAGCGGAAGCAAACATTAAAACTAGCTACACAGGTGGGAGTCCGTGTGGAGACTTACTGCAATGAAGATATCAAGGTGGCCAATAACCGCGTAGCCAAACCAAACGAGTCCATTGATGAAGTTGAACAGGGAGAGCAAGAAAGGCATATATTCAACACTTCTGGTCCAGATTACCAACCTCTGTATGTCAAAGCATAAGAAAGTTGGATAAGTTCCATATTGAGGAAAAAGAAGAGGAAGAGAAAGGAAGAAAGAAAGCAATTTATCGTAGAGCAGTTCTTCAAACAACCGACAGTTTACTTGAAGATTGTTGGGACAAGAGGGCGCACCATGACTGCAAGGGGCGAAATATACATTCCGACTCCAAATACAGCGCAAAGTGTCCCAACAAGAAGCTTGCGGGTCTTTCTGTCGTGGATGAGTACGAACACGAGCACCGCAATCGCAGTGAACAGGATCAAAACTGCTAGCAAAACCTTCATCACCTTAACCTGCGGTCACAGACAAAACGCAGCTAAGGGCAGGTCGAAATCAGCATTAACTTGTCTAGGGATCGTCCTTATTTAACATCAACACAGGAACTGATGTCTATGTAAAAAGACGTTTTTGATTGTCGAATTTACCCTGACGCTTCTCTGCGCATTCTTCAAATATAACCCGATGTATATCATCTCAATCACAACGCCGGCTGCGTTGATGGTGACCACTAACACTTGAAGCTCAACCACCGGGAGGCCATACACGACCCAGAGCAGGCAATTGAGAAGGGTGCATATATAGGGGATGCCAGAGTAGTCTCCCACTGACTTCCTCTTGACGATGTCGACGAAGGTGGGACTGTAGAAGTTACAAGAGACTCGCACACTCAACATGCGAACACTCATGCATATATGTATGTATGTATATTTCTAGGCTCACAAAAACGTGGTGCTTCGTATGCATGACAATTTCTATGCGCACTACTGTTTACAAGTTCAGATTCAACATGCATGTTTAGGCCTGAATAAAATCGGCTCTTTTTTAAAAATCCAGTAGCATTTTCTGCATATTATTCTGTCCACCCACTATGAGAAACATGTTTGATTCGTTTTCAAATATGAGAGACACAATCAAGTTTCAGGCTGCACTGTCTGTCGTTAGAAAATGTCAACGTGAACTTACATCGGTGAGGTAATCAAACAGATAGCAGTAATGTTTCCTGAACACAAGCGGCAGAAATAAAAAAGTTACTTGACAGTATGAATGTGGAAAAATGAACGAGATATGGAATTCTGTAATTAATATCACTAGAACTTCAAAAGTGATACACATGCCGTTTCACCTTGAGCCATCGACGCCTTCTTGAACTTGCTGGTCATAAGAAGAAATAATCGAACAAGACTCTATCTACTGGATTCTACATCGGACTATCCTAGCGTTTTATTGCCCGTAATAATGTAATGCATACTGGGAGGATGAGACAGTTTCTGAACCCCGTCATAGAAGATTACTATAGAAAAGTCATTGTGGCGCACGTTATCAGACTAAATTGGTGGGTTTCTTCCAAGGTTGACGGCGAAATGAATAGAACAGACGGGCTTGAAACCTCACAGGTCTTGTTCCAATACTCCGAGACCGACTTCAATGTGCGATTATAGCAAGTTCTCGGTCTCTTAGGAATATTCAGGAACGACCAAAGAAAAGTATCGAATCTTGTGTGTTTTTCTAAGCCCGCCATTGTGAATTGGGAATTTAGTCTTGAAACTGAAGAGACTGATGAAATTTCACACAATTACAGCTTTTACGATGCGTCCAGTTTTCAAACGAGTGGACATGTCACAAAAATAAAACAAAATAGAATCATGGTATTAGTAGTGCCCAATGTGAAACGTGATATTGCTGCTTAGCAAGGTGAGGTTGTAAAAGGGTATCAACAACAGATTCACCCAAACAACATGAAACATCACGTAGAGAAGGCTCGAGCCTCACCCAAGATTCCTAGGATATCTTTGATGTTGAGGTGGCCCATAGTTTCAGTTGCAATATACAGCTCCTGCATAAACGTCACGGGGTCCGCAGGTCCAACCTCACAGAACAAAAACGACCCTTTACCACCGTCGTCAACAACCATGCAACTCAAACTTCCTCTCAATCAGAGCTAGCACATTCCTAGACTCCTCGTGGAAAGAAAGTGCAGCTCTGTCGCATCACCACACGGGTCTTGAACCCAGCACTCTACCATGAGCTGCTCTCCCCCGACCGCAGGGCTACCGTAACGCCATCCCGAAACCAGAATCGTCGTCACCTCACAACCCAACCACAACAACGCCGAACGATGGAAGATGGAACGGCATCCAAGTACCCATTACCCCGTGGAATCCACCACACAGAGAGAACAAGAGAGAAGTAAAGCAGCACCTTCAGAGCTCAGATTCTGATGAGGATCCAACTCCGTCAATCCTGAGCTTCTATCAGCAACTCAACATGGGCTGCGTGAGGCGAGTTCGCATTGTGGGCATAGCTGGTACAGCCTCGCTGAAGTGCGATGGATTCTCATGCTCTCTTCTCGCCTCATGGATTCCACGGCATTACGATTCATGTCTGATAGAAATGGCAACTGCGAGTGGGGACTGCTCGTGAGCGTTGGCGCTCCCTCATCGACCAGCTCAGTCTGGCCCCGCGACGAACTGCTCCGTCGACGATGTTTCTATTCTCGTCTGATGTGTGAGTGGGTGGGTTTAAAGTTGCGCTTTTGAACACTTGTAAGCTCTTTTATTTAATACATTATATGTTGAAGTGATTTTAGATTAATTTCTTACTTTTGGTGTTAGGATAATAATTGGGAAAATTGCACGTATTTGAATGGCATGTCGGTAAAAGATTTGCAGTCTTCATTAAATAATATTTGTGATATTGATTGTCCTAGCCACGAGTGGAAATTTGAAAAACAATATAATTCAACAAAATAAAGTCACCTTAATATGTGAGTATGGTAAGTTACTAAAAGTCAAGACAGTACTCTGTATGTTTTATGGCTAACATAAAAAGAAATAAAGTTATAATCATTCTTAATCTCGCCAATTCCTCTTTTGGCTGGCTGTTAATACTGTGGCTTGTAATTTTCTACTTCTCTATTTTGATACTGCAATATATTTTCAGAAGTATTAATTAAAAATATATTAGACTGTAATAACTTAACAAAAAATTATAAAGTTAAAAAACCTCCAAAAAAATCATTCAAATTGAATACTTAGAAATATTTAAAATCTTATTTTAAACTAATTTTGCTAATACGTTTTAATAGTGTGTTATTGATGTTTATTATATATCTACTTCCACATCTTTTCCAGTTAAATTTGTCTCAGTAAATTAATTTCATTTCATTTATCTCATAATATAGAAAGGAACAAGACACGCCAATCACCGCTACATTGTGGCCCATTCTAATATCAGTCTTAAATAACAATCTATACTCTAATAGTCAACGTAGAAAAACAGCACAAGAAGCTTCAAATTGTGGATAAAGATTTCCATTTAGAACCATTTAAAATAATATTTCGATCTGATGAACTAAATGCTTGAGCTAGGCACCCAGTCAGAAACTATCAATACCTAGCTAAGTTGCAGCCAACTCCTGTCTGAATTACAAGATGCAAAGTTAATTTCTATATTCTGGTGACCTCAAAACCCCTGGACAATTATATACAACGACCTTGAATTTGTACTGGTCGATCAGCTCATCGACATACCCGTTTTGGTCATGCTGAGTTCTGCACCTACAATGAGGGTAACTTCGTAGCCGGTTGGTGGCTGGTTCTGTGGACAATCTGGAGAGCTGATGGTAATCCATGGCATCTTCAATTCCAGCTGTAACCGGATTTCACTTCAGTATGGGCAACAAGCGTCATTTATTTCAAGAAAGATAAACATTTAGTCCCAATCTCTCTTTAATGTCTGCTTCTGCATATTTACTTCCCCCATTCAATAGGATCTTTGAAAGTTACGTATACCAAAATGGCTTGGCACCGGTCCATGTTGGAGCAGACAAGTTCCAATAAGGTTCAGAAGGGCTGCTCAAAAGCCAAATGGTTCTGACGTGAATTAAGTGGCGTCAAATTTGCAAGGGAGACTTTCAAACAATGCTTCAACCACCAGATGGGACCTCCAAAGGTAGGCTTGTTGAACAACGCCGCACTTTGATAGGACTAAAGATGTTTTCAGTTGCGCGACTGGTTTTTCTATGATCTCGTTAGATTTGATTACGTCATTCCAACCTATCAACTTAATCTTCAGCATGATCCAACTGCAAATAGTGACAATAGGTGAACAATTCTAGATCTGCGTAATTCCAACATGCAAAGGAAGATCTAATTAGGAAGTACATTCTGAAAAACCGAAGCGCGGACAAAAAAACTCCAGAACTTCTAAGTTCAATGAGCATTGACATGAGCTATACTCTATGTAGCCTTAGGGACTTACATTCTTTCAGCAACAAGATCAGTATCCCCTGAAGTATCCCCAGCTTCAGATAAAAGGAGTCTAAATGAGCCACTTCGTGGCCATAATGTAATCCAGGGCGCCTTCAATTGCAAGGCTCTACTTGAGTAATAAAATAATCATCCTTTTGAAAAACCAGTCGTTCCGAATTCTTTTTCACTAGAACCTACTGCTGCTGACCCACAATTGCAGTGGTATAAATTCAATGATAGTGTCAAAGTATCTGTTCTTAATCACAAAAATCTTTTTTGAACTTCTTCAGTAAGAGCTCGGAATGCAGAGCTCCAATCAGTCCCCTGTGTCTCAGTGGTGAATAAGCGGTACAAGACCCTCAACTCTGCTGAAGTTGCCCTTTGAAAGAGACTTTGAAGAGTGGAGTACGCATCCTGCCTTTCATTACGGAAGCCGCTCGACATAACTCCTTGCCTTGCAGGATTCCCCTGCTCAAAAGCATGTCCTGAAGTATTCTTCGTGTTGTTAATATTCACAGATGACCTGCTATTTATATTTACAATCCTATCTTGTGGTGCTCTGTCTGGCATAGCCCTCAAAGGCAGTTCCAGACACTCCTCCTTTAACCGGCCCACACTGATCCCTGCTCTCCGAAACTCAGGCTCTGCTAGATCGGGTCTGAAGTTCTGCTTTACAAGAGCCTGCTTGCCATTCCAATAATCAGAGCATTGGTGGAAAGAATCCAGCGCCTCCATAGCCTGCAGAACAAATACATGGTTCTCAGATCAGCTGATGCGCCTCAAGTCTAAGGTTGAATTTTGAGAAACAGGTTTGCAAGGACGAGTAAACTGTAAAGGGGAACAAAACACGTGACGGATATACCCATACATTCATATTTTGAAGAAAAACCAAAGAATTGGATTCAAGCATGCATGACATCTATTCGCATCATTAATTTCTCCAGGCTTCACCTATTGCATGAATGAAACGTTGATCAACGATGTCATCAGAAGTTGAATGATCTTTACCTCGACAATGGAGGTCGTTGTAAGGCCAAACATTTCCAGACCGCTTGGGGGCGGTAAGAGAGGAGGTAGCTGCAACTTAACGTTATCAGAACGGCGGGCGATAATTGCCTCGTTAATCTGATCCTGAATGTCACGCCAACATCCGTCTATAGTCTCACTCAAGTAGATTTCCCGCTTGGTTGGATGTATAACCTAGAAAACAAGGAAAAGGATGAGCGACAAATGAGAACTAGGGATGAACCAGCGACTACCCAAAAGTTAATAAGCTTCATAGCTGCTAAACGAATCTAATGAACCTCACAAACTTTCAGAAGTAGACGAATCTACTTCTGAAATTTCCGAAATTTGAAATTTGAAATTAAGACGAATTTCTTGCAGCGAAGAACGTATCAAAAATTACCTGAAACAAAGGCCTTGCACTCGAACCTCGATCAATAATCTCCGATACGTAAATGCACGTCTTAAGGACATCTTCAACATCGATGAAGCGTGTGCGGCTTTTAAAGCCTAAAACCAAAAAGAACTTTTCTGATTAGAGACCATCACTAGGCGTCCCAGCTAAATGCCTACAAATCAACTGATATTTAACAGCATACATTCAGGAGGAAGGAAAGACCATGATTACAAGCGTGAACATTAAAAAATAGCAACTATCTAAGGCAAGACTACTCATGTTCGCAGAGGGAGTTCATCTCAACATTTGCCAAAAGTTAGCTTAATCTTATCTCAAAGCAAAGAAGCATTACCTGCTGAATAAATAGCGAGATTAGTATGCCACCCTTCTCTCAGCACAAGGCGTCCAATATCAAGAAGCTCCACCTCCCTTTTCACACGAACTCGGGCCACCCTGGGAGGAACGCATACACTACCATTGCGTTGTAAGACTGTCACCAATTCGGTCGTAGACCTTGGGGGAGCAATGTGCCCATTCGACACCTCAGCCTCCGGTTTAACAGAAATACTCGCCGATGAAAGGGCATGCAATGGTCTCTCCTTAACAGGGATTCTGACAGCTGTCACTGATGCTAGCTGCTTCATGCTACCGCCAGCTCTAGCAACTTCAAGGGACCCATGAGAAGGATCCCCTTCAGGGAATGACACACCACAGCTATTAAGGGGGTTACTGGTCGAACTCCTACATCTGGCAATGTCGGAACCAACCTGAGGCTGTGCTCGACATCCTCGACCCCCTAAATTATTGCCCGTATCACATTCTGCCGCCCTAGAGGAAACAACGCTAGATGCTTCGTGAACTGGAGATGTAGATTCCACTGCTTCCTTCAACTTGCAGGTAGCCATTTCCTCTTCTTCATCACTAAGCATTATGACTTCAGGTCTGGACGCGTCCACGTTCAGCTTTTCAGAGGAAGAGCGAGCTGGTTGTTGTGTTGATCCCAATTTTGTGTTTAGGAATTCCCTTTGAAATGATACACTGCACCCAGAATGTTCTGGGGCATTTTTTCTTCCGTGGCCGGGCTTCGGGAAGAATACACCTTCCGAATGGCCTAACCCATCCTTCAATTCTGAGCGTATGAAAGAACCGTTGTGCTCCGGAAGGTTATTATTGTTGAGAGCCGATGCCACTTGAACGGAATTCCTCACCAAAGTGGGGGGCTTCAGAAAGGACCGAGCCTTGTTATCAGGTTCTGAATTAAGCACGTTGTAGACCTGATGAAGCCCACCGACATTCTGCGTTGCCATTTTTTTCTTAACTGCAAACGTTACGGGGTTTATTTGTGTAGAAGTCTTCACAACTGCAGAACTCATGGAAGAATGTGGCATTTGAAGATTGATATCTCTAGGTACATACCCAGCCAGAACTTGGGAAGGCAGCAAGTCCCGAAGACTAGGTGACGGAATAGGTGGCAGAGCATCCTGCTTAACCCAATTAGCAACAGCCCCAGGACGACCTTCGACAGCAGCCAATAATAGGCTTAACTGCTCTAGATCATACCTGTAAAACATAGTTTTCTTACTCCAGGGACATGAACAAAGAAGGTGGCCATGTAGCAAGCATGTAAATTTGTCGGGACAACATACACACCCCACAGCCGACAGATGTAGATCATATTTGCATGTTTCACATTCTCGCTCATCCGTAGAATCATAGCTGCTGTCCATCTGCTTCGCTGGTAACGTCAACAGTTCACCGGAACTTGATTTCAAGGATTCCCGATGCACACGCTCCATATCCACCCTTGCCTGTAAAGACCATCAAAGATGCCATCAAAGGACGGATACACCAGAAATAATAATAATAATAATAATAATAATAAAGAACAAGGTGTTCATTGCTTACTTTGAGAAGTATCCAATGCTTACCTTGAGAGCCTTGGCCAGAATACCACCCTCCCCACAATAAGCCAGCCATGAAGAAACCAAACTTGGCTTTAAGCCACCTGCGTTTTGTTGCGAGTGCCAACACATTCTCACTGCCACCCTGGCTGCCCCCAACAATAGTTTGTCATGCGACACAGATGTCTTACGATGAAGCTCTCTGTAAAGTTCCACCGCTGCTTGGCCATGAGGCAACCAGTCCACAGGGGCAACATTCACAGCCTCAGCAACATTAAATCCCGCATTGAATCCAGAATGATAAGCATTCGGGAACGTGATCACAAAATCGCCCGGCTGCTGCACAAGCCTGTAGACTGGAACTCCCTCTGGCTTCAAGAAAGATGGAGACAATTGAGTTACCTGAACGGCAAATTTTTACAGAAGTCATTCTTTGATAGTCATATCAGCCAGTTAGACCACGAAACAAGAGACAACACTGACTGAATTTGGGTTGAACATCATCTCCTAAAGTAACTAGCTTTATACCATACTACACGGCAGAAAGTTGCTGATTACATATAAGATATAATGAAGATATGATAGCAAACCAGTCCAAAAGGCACAAAACCCAAATGAGTATCATGAAGGTCGAAGTAACTAGTGTGGAAGTACGCTATATTACCAGTTTGTGAAGAAGGTCAGGTTGCTCACTGAACAGGTCAGGTAAATGTTTCTTCATTGCTGCCTCTAATTTGTCAGCTGCAGACCCAGGAACACCGTACCAGATTTTCGGTGCACCCCAATGCATATAATTGAGGGAATAAAAATGATGGTCCTCTACATGCTGCAAAATACTCCACAATTTATGAAGATTAGGACTACAAGGTTAACATCCATATCGCGAAATGGTAAGTTGCAGAACGCACTAAAGTCTGTACATCAACTCAAGTTTGATAACTGCATGTTACATTCGAGAAATCAATTCAGGTCAGGTTTTTTACTTACCCAGCAAAATGAAGAAAAGCACATCCCAATGTACAACCACGGCACAAGCACCCCAGAAATGTCTCCATCCTCAAATGATAGCATGGAACCAGGATATCTTGCTATATTATTCAAATTCCAGCCTGACTTCTCATAATGAGTCGCAGCCTCCGACCCTAGTGGTGCCTTAGGGAAACCGCTTCCAAACTTTCCAGTTTCCACATCAGCGCCGTATAGAACCTGCTCCAAATATTTGACCAAAAAAATCAGGACTTATTACGTATCCTTAACCTGCACTCACCTAGAGATACAAAAGTTCGTGATGGGCTGCATTCTAAGTGTAGATCCCGCGCTTACGTTCTAAAAAAAGACGTGCTTTTCAACTTTTGAACCAATTAGCTAAAGCCCAAATACAACATCGAAGATCGAGCAGGGAAATACTCCTTTAATATGTATAAATATATATATATTGATTAGGTTGAGATGCCCATACTATGAAGTAAATTGACAAAGCAATTTACAACGACTTGCTTCGACATTCAAAAAATGGTGAAATACCTCTATCTGTTCCGTGGCTTGCTCAACAATACGCCAGTATTCCCCTTCAATCATATTGACCGTAGGCTCCCAATCAGGTTCTGAACTTTGTCGTTCAGGGATGCGGAAATACTGACTTTTGAAGTCATTGGCATAGTTTTCGAAGGCTCTCAATGGAAACGGGTCTCCGGGCCAAAATCCAAAGTACTCCGGTTGATCGTTAATAGGTGGGGAGGTAGTGCAAGCGGCTAAACCTCCCATTCTACCGATTGTTGCCCGTCCTCTACGCCTCTTGCTAGCTAGTTTTGTTGGTGACCACACCTTGGTAGTTGGTTGCCGAATTTGAAGCTTGTGAACCTGCTGCACACGTGTTGGAAACTCCATATTTTGGGCCTCTACAGAATCCCCTCGCAATGGACAGGGGGGTCTCCATAACTGTGGCGGAACAACGCGACAAACTCCATAGGGCTCCGCTCTAGCTCGAATGCTTGCAATATACCTCAGAGGATCTTTAAATTCCTGAAGAAGCCAATGAGGCAAGGTTGGCTGTTTGAGCTGAAGGATATCACAAGTACTGTAAAGTATGACGTAGATCTAAAAGACACAGATTCTAAGGACTTGCGATGTGAAACACGTACCTCCTCCGTCGGGTAAAAAACGGGGGCCTCATCAATACAGGGCCTTCGACCAGCATCCGGCCGCCAAGTTGCCAACACCTAGTTCGAATAGCAAATTAAGTTGTACAAATTCAGCCCTTGCATCTTCGAAGGCACTGAAGAAGTGAAATTACATGAAGCATAACCTGGACGATCAAAACAGAAGGTTCCAAGGTCACCTTTTGACAGGTGCGACAAGATGGACAACCGCGCAGCACGCCATACGGTAATTCGGGCTTTGTAGCAACAGCCTGGGAGCACATACGAAAGACCAGTATGAAATCATTGTAAACTTGCAATGAAGACGTCGTCTAGACATACTTGGAAAAACACACATTTGTCGAAGTTGACTATAGCCAGTGCCAATACCCAATACATGACTCTTACACATTACATGTTTGACTTTGATATGGTTTTGCAAGAGTGAATCTCCACCCAACCGTATAAAAACATCATGCGATGTTGACCACCTCTCTAAGTCACGAGTCTTATAATACCCTTAAATTATCCTTCAAATACGCCTACGGTAACGAGCTATTACCTCCCATGAATGAATTCGACAACCAACATGCAAAACGGATTCAATAGTCTTGGACTGTGAAAGAAGCTCCAACACCAGCTTAAGTTTCTGATTTCCTTCGTTCTTGTTGCTGCTTAGTGCCTTTTAGACCATAAAAACTTATTACGTGTTCACTTATCATAAAATTCCTTTGAGTATTGTAAAACTTCATGTAATATGCTTCTCTTCGAGATGCTTGTTTTTACGTAACAGATCATTAACATGCTCTACATTCCTCAAACCTTCACATCCATGCAGTACGAAAGCGAGTGTCGAGATGCTATGTAGGGTTATGCTTTAGACTCCTGCGCCAGAATCAGACAAGATCAATACGAGAAAAATGGATAAATATTTACTTGTTGCAGACGAACATGGCCAGCCTCTTCGTCTGGGCTACCGTCGGACTCGCAATAGCTAATTCGAGATTTGCGCCTGACAGTTTTAGGCACGTACTCATCTTCACTACTGGATTCTGTTGGATTCCTTCGGATGATCCGTTTCCGACGAACAGGCGGCAAGGGCGACTCGTCTTGACTGTCCGTAGAAACATTCAATTCCACGGTTTCCAAAATGTGCTTCTGGGAAAACTCTTCTGGATCAGACCCATGGAATGTGAGAACCACATGAGGGGAATTTTCAGTTCCAGACACATCCACATGACTCGAGTAAAAGGAAGGGTGTGCATCCAAACCCCCCAGTGTAGCTGCAGTCCATGTATGTATGGTGAATAGTCAGTCCTCTCTTCATCACTACCCCATGCAAACAAATCGAGAACACAAAGCAATTGCTACAACGAAATGATTACAAGCAAAGATGCAACGACGCTAAGCAGTTCGATCTTCCATCGAAGCACGCAAAACCCCGACATAGCTCTCATTGGCATTAACGCCACATGGCATGTCATAAGTTCTTTGAATTTCCCACTCCGCAACGGACATGTAGAGAGCACTATCACAGCCCTAGCAGTGAAACTGTCAAGAATTCAAGCTCAAAAAGGTGCAACTATAAATGAAAGAACAAAACCACAGTGCAGAGATGACAAAAGTAGGAGATGGTCGGACGTACCTGACATCCTCACGGAGTCAGCAAGAGGTGGCAGCAACGCCATCTTTTTCAAGTCGAGACTACCGCAGAGACAAACATAAATTCCCTGTCATAGAATGGTGTCCATGCAGCTGAAAAGAACCTTTAGGTAAAGCTCGATGGTTACTCACTGCCTTCCCATCCACTCTATTGCGCTTCAAGCTGACTGACAACGACTAGCAGTTAACATTATCATGCGGTCATCTAGGACACAATTGGCAACTTCAGAGCCCAGCACTATCCTCTCTCAAAACTCTTCTTCGACTCTCTCTTCGCGAGACTCAAGAAAGGTTTTGTATATTTCGTCGCAAGGGACACAAATTTCTGAAATCAGCTCCAGCAATCATAAGAGAATTGCTACTCCGCCCCACTAAAACCCATCCCCTCGCTGGATCATGAACACCCAAAACGCTACCTTTGACAAACCACATCAACCTGTCCCATAAACTTTACCGCTTCTAATTGAGGAAGAATCCCACGCACAACCAGATCACCAACCCTGCCATCTTCCTCGTCATCACAACAGTCTAGCAAACCTGACATCCCAGTTTGCACTTAGAAAACCTTCATAGTTGATTAGTCAACACACCACCACTTCTCCACAGATCCAGGTTGCTTCCAAAATGAAGCAAATGCACTCCATCCGTCCCCTTCATAACCTACTCACCAACTCCTCATCCCACGCGACAGAGTTACACGACAACCACCTCCACCGACACACCATTGAACACAACAACTCTTAGACCCCCTCTCCCAAAGTACTAATTAAAATTCCACAAAACAAACCAAACAAGTATGCACAGCCCTCAATCTGCACAGTTGCCGAAGCTCCCCATCGGTGCTCTTGGTCAACTTCTAACGCGCTCACGAAATAAAGTAAATGAACAAATAATAATAATAAAATCAATACAACGCTGGCCCACTCTACCAAATCCACATCAAAGCCCCTCTGTAACACCAAATCCCACCTCAATTCGTCTGTTACAACTTTCCTCTGCCCAAGGCAACTACGATCGGCATTCCACTCCCACTCCCACTCCTATATTCCATCAAGCCATACTCTAACACTCAGACGATGACCAAGCTTATGAGCAAGCGCCACAACACCATCACCAACTGCAACGCGATGTCAAATCCGGTGTGTCAAACTCAAACCCCCGACAACCAACCGAACAACAACACCCAAACAAAACAAAACCAAATAAAAAGTACAATAGAAATTCCGTGTGGCAGAGCGAGTGACCGCGCGGAAATGGCGTGGCAAATTGGCAGCGATGACGACGACGACGACGGCAATGACGAGGACTAGGAAAAGAGCAGCAGCAGTAGACGCTCGATTTGCGGCTATGGCGTGACCTAATGGCGACCAACGAGACGACGGGGATTCAATGGGGAATGAATGACATAAGGGATGGAGCCATAGCCCATGCTCATGTATGCATGCATGATCATTTCCCTTCATCTCTCCCTTCATTCATCCATTCATTTGTTCATCTATCATTTTACTTATTCATTCATCCATGTGCACCAAGTGTGTGGATCCATGATCAGGGCATCCAATGAGCTTGCGCTATCATTAGTGGAAGCCTTGCTGAGCTGGCACTTCCCTCTGCTTTTTCCTCAAATGATCCGCCTCTTCTTGCCTTGAAAGCTCTGCCACTTTTATTACATTATTTTGGAGGCTGATTTTAGCCCTAAAAGACATCGTAAAAGCGAAAGAGGATGAATCAAATGTGATGATGCTCTCTATTACTTCATTAGCAAACTTTATCCTCTTTTTTAGAAAGTCGCCATAGTTTTGGTTTTTTATGGTGTGTTCCATGTTTTGATAGTATCTCAATTGTAGTGATACCACTTCATTTTGCAAGACTTGGGTAATTGTACAACTTTGTCATGGATATTTAACTATCTTGAAAAAATCGATTATTGTTATTAAGAGTTTTGACTGAATTTGGTGAATTGTTGATATTCAATGTTGATGTATCTAGATAGAAGACCCTTTTGGCCTCAAAATCCTATAGGCTGTTTGAAAAAATGACTTAAATATATATTTTGAGATATTTCTACAACATCAAAGTTAAGTTGATTGTTCATATATATATATATATATATTGATCACTCAAACTAGATTCAATACTTTTATAACAGTGTGAATTACATTGAAAAATAAATGCAATAGGTATACTTTTAGAAATAAATGTTGAATGGAAATTTAAACTTCAAAATTATATAACTAATAACAGAGTGTTGGAAATGTGTGTGTCTATTGTATTTTAGTACAATTGTATTCTTACTGTCATTTTTTATTTTATTTTTTATTTTGCACAAAAGTATCATTTTTTGTTATAAGTAAATAAATAAAGTCCTTACAAATATTTCTTTAGATACAGCAACTTCCTATTAGAAATAACTATTTGACGTTATTTTATTTTTAGTATGGGTATGATTTGGCTGAACATTTTTCACTTTAATAAGACACAAAATAATATGGTTTTTTTTATCAAAAGCAGTTTGAACGTATATTGCACGAATCTGTAAAATAATAATACTTCAATTTCAATTCTTATTAGGTGAAGAAATATTATCAAAGGTTAAGAGAATTTATCAAGAAAATTCTCTATATAAATATAGATACACACACAATGAAATAGTTATAATCTGAAAAATAATAAACTTTAAGTTGTTATTGAACCATACTCTTGTGATAAAAAAATTCATTAAATTGTAAAAATTATATGAACACTAAATGCATAAGTATAATTAATATACTATGTATACACACACTTACCAGTACTAGTGACCATTGCCTTGTTTTTGTATGTAATCTGCAAAAGCAAGTTATTTGTGTACAATGATACACAATACAACAACTCATCACAACATACAAACATCTTTCATTAGCACTACACAAAAACTACACAAAAAACAGTGAAAAAAATGAACTCCTGCAAAAACACAAAACACACACAATGGTTAATTCCAGAAGCATTTACATCTTTGTTTACAATACCTTGTCTGTTTGTTAATTTAAAAGAAAATAACTTCAGCTTCTTATGTAACCTCTTAACAACATCGAGTCTTATGTTGAGCAATTAAGTTATTGTTATGGAGTCGAATTATTTTTCAACAAAGACAAAGGTAGAAAATATTCCAATCTTTTATTAGATTCTTGAAGCATTTTGTTAGAGAAAAAAAAATCAAACCATGATCATATACTCAATTTTTTTGTAGGATTTTGGATCACATATCTACAAATAAACTAGTAATGTAAATCATTACAAATACTTATTTCAAATTTGCTTCGTAGCTTACAATGCTACATTTACATTTGCTAATAAAATTGATGTGAATAATACTCCCAATTGATCAACTTATTTTGTTGTTGGTAAATTTTTAAGCTGTTCCATTGACTCTTTGTTATCTTCTATTAATGCCACTTTAAAACATGCATTATAAACTTTTGGACGAACTGTTTTACATATTATTCACGAATGTTTAGAAAATTGAGTACTTCAAAAAATCATTAATAATAATTCTAAAATAGAATCTTTCACTTGTTATACTATTTTAGAAAAAACGATAATTGTAAATTCATGTTATCAAAAACTCATTTTTGAAAATTTTTGAAAATAAAATTAATGAAAATTTGTATATATTTTGTGTATACACATGTTTAAAAATAAAAATAAAAAAATATATATTTTTTTGCATGTTGTAATATAATTTAAGCATATCATTAAAATTAAATATTAATTGCTATATTCTAAGACAATGTAGTATTGATCAAACAATGTTTGATATTTCTTCATCTGTATGCATTCCAAATAAATATAATCTAGCTTTTGGAGCTGTAATACACCTTCTATTAATATATTATTGATTTTTGATTATCAATGTCTCTTATTTGCATAGTTTTGTTTGTTGTGTCTTTTATAAATATGTTATTGAATAGACTTACTTTATATGTAGAAAAAAATATATAAAAATATAAAATTTAATGCTTAAACTTAGATCATACATTGCAACATATCAACTAACCACTAGTTAACCAACAATATTAAATGTTTTATCATCTTTATTTCTAGTATGAACTAGATAACCATGTTCATTTGCTTAAATCATTTTCAATGTTTTCAAAGATATTTTTCAATGACATCATATTTTTCTAGATATAGTACTAATGGAGCTTATCACTACATGAATTTTAGGCCAAAAAATGTATTGAAATTTTGAGTAAATATAATTTCTTTTATTAGAAAATATTTACTGTATAAAATATTATATATATATATATATATATATATATATATATATGTGTGTGTGTGTGTGTGTGTGTGTGTGTGTCTGCATACATACTGTCATGGACATATGCATGTAAGCCAATAATTACATGTATAAATAGATAGAAATAAGTAAAAATAGATAAAAGTAAGTTAATTCTATAGTATTTGGTATGAAAGCTTCTTAGAAGCTTCATAGACACTACTTTGAATTTATAGGTGTCTTTAATTGACTTTTTGGGATTAGAAACGTGGTCAATAAGTTGGCCATGCACCACACATCTTATTAGCTTGAAGACCAAGCTAATTATGTGGTCCACACGTAGAAAAACTTGCCTTATAAGTCAAGGTATGTGTCCTACAAAGTCAACACATATTGGAGGTCCTATAGAATGTCGCCACATAGCCCTTAGTTAGATAGTATGTATAGAGACAAGAGTGAAGCCTTCTTCACTCTTGTCAACTTCTTTCTTGATTCCAATCTAATTTCAAGGGTCTTTAGTTTTCTTGGCTTTTGGGAATAGCCATTCGAGTTTCTTTCTTAATATAAATATCAAGTTATTTCTATTTTGTCATCTTTCTATGAGAGAAGTCTCACTTGTTTATTTGTCTTTATCATGTTCTTGTCCTTGACAAATTAATAAGAGTACACTTATAATATTAGAGCTTTGTCTAATCTTGATTAAGAGTGGATTGCCCCCTTTTTTTTGATAAGACACAAGCATATTAGAAGTTGCGGATTACCCTCTTCTAAATTGATATTGTCCTTAGTATTTTCTTTGTTCTCAAGTCCTCTCTTCTATTTGTCTTGAGGATTATTTGACATCTTCTCTTTTCTAAGTGTTATTATGGCAGAACTTGTTGAAATAAAGAGTGCAATGTCACAAATGCAAGAGCAATTGAGGAAGTTAATGCTTGCGATGTATCAACTCAATTTACCACCACAAGGAGCAACAAAATTGACAGGAAGTGAAGATATAGAAATGATTGGAGCTGCTTCAATATCTGCACCAAATCATGTCTCTTCTCCTGTAGTGGAACGCCCTTTTGTTGTTAGAGAACCAAGAATTACTCTGCCCGTGAAGTTTGATGGCATCAGATCCAAGTTTTGAGGATTTATCAATCAAGTGTAACTTGTGATTGAACTTCAACCCCAAAGCTATCCAACTCCAGGATCACAAGTTAGATTCATTGCTATGCTTCTTTCAAGTTCAGTATTATCATGGTTTTTATCTTTTCTTAAACGATGAGATCCAATATTAGATAATCTAAAGGCTTTTTTAGTGGAGTTTCGATCCATGTATGGAAAACATGATATAATTCATGTTGCAACCAATAAGATCCGTATTTTATGACAAAACAATTGATGAGTAACGTTATATGCTTCACAATTTTGATAACTTGCAAATGATATCAAGTGGGATGATGCTGCACTTATTAGCCAATTTCTCTATAGATTATAATATGAGGTAAAAAAATTAATGCTCAACTTACCTGATTCTAAAATATTGAGACAAGCAATTGACTTTGTTGTGAGGTGCGACAATCGCCTTTTTGAATTTTGATCTGAGAATTGTATAAGGGAACCTAAACGTTACTACAATTCAATAGCAACACTAACATACATTCGAAAGTAGAGGATATGCAAATTGATGTAGTATGTTTCAAACCTCTTATTGAGCAAGAAAATACTCATCGTTGTCAAGAAGGATTGTGCTTATATTGTGGAGAATCTAAGCACAATGCTCAACATTGTCCAAAAATGTGACGCAACCATAAAGTGAGGAGTACGGCAATCAAAGAAGATAGCTTATCGGAAAACAAATTTGTCCAGCTATAATAGGGACTGTGCGGCTGGAACCTTGTACAATACTTAGTGAAGGTCCTATCCTCTCCTCAGAACCTTCTCTTAAACCCTAAACTAAACCTGTTCATGTACAAGTCATAGATCATCGTTCGTTATCTTCAAGAGATGTTACTCATGAAATCCTTCCTATAGAAATAGCAACTAATAGTCATAGTAGCTTTATAATATTTAATATCATTACATCTTCTTCTAATCCAATCATTTTTGATTTATCATGGCTAGTAAAATAT